GCCCCGTCCCGCGCCCTCCCGGCGCCCTGCCCTCCCCGGGACGCCCGTGCCCACCCGCTCCCTTTCCACGGTGCATGCTTCCGACGCAAAATGTGCCCTTGGTTTTGAAACAGAAGGAGTAAGACCTCAGTATTTTGGAAAAAAGCAATATTTAGTCGTATTATAAACGGCCATTGATAATGCATCTGACCAGTGTATGTTTTTGCAAACACAGGGTCATCCTGGAAAAGAAGGCCAGTCCGGAGACAAGGGCGCGCTGGTAGGTCACCAAGTGCCCCCTGCAGCGGCCCTCCCCTTGCCTCCTGGGGACGTGCCCCCCCCGCCACCTGTGTGACCGTGACTCCTCCAGCTGCGCTAGGAGACAGGCCGATCGGAACAGAAGGAGCAGGCACTAAGTCCCTCCTGCGAACGGGTCTTCACTTTCAGAAGAACGTTTGCTACCACTCAAACATGTCGTGTTCCTAGGCTTGTATTTTTACTTTTTGTTTAGGATAAAATGAACAGATGTATAGTAGGTCACTTTTAATTTTGTATTAGCGGTTCTGTTAGACTGCATTTCCTGCCTTTTAAAAAATATTCGCGTGATCAGAAATAAATCCGCATTCTGCATTACAGTATATGTGGAATAAATGACCATGAATTATGGTAATGAAATTAGGCCAGAACTACTGAACATCCTTAAACTGTTTATGCCACTCAAACTTTATCTTCACCTATTACTTTCCGGTAACCCTGAAAGAGGAGGAGATTGAATTGTAAGAGCAGCAGTTACCAAAATACCTAAACAGAAGCTTATTTAAATGTTAATACTACTTTGCATTGTAGTAGCAGGGGTAGGATCACTTTTATTAGAGTGGTTAGTTTTGGATTATTATTAAGATACTCGGCATTCCTGCAGGACTTGCGTAGCACATATGACATATTATTTCCTTTACGTAGACCAGTGGCGTGAAACCAGCGGTGGAAACTACGTCATTTTGATCATATTTAGTGATGTGAATGCTAGAAATTATTGATCTTCTTGGTTAATCTCTAACTGTCCGTTGCAGACATTGAGGACATCCGATTTGCTCAGGTTTAGAATATTAGTTATTAATTGTATAATATTTACGGTGCTTTACACATTCACAATATCTTATTTTCAGCATGAGTATCTGATATGAGAAGTTTGGAATAAGTAGGGCTAGTCACATGGCTCGTTGATCACACCTGACTTCAGAAACAAACCATAAACTGCCCACGAAATCTTTGCCAATGGTAGAAAAATAGCACATTCTCGTAGATTGTTTGGTAGAACGATCCTGCTCCTAAGCAGCTTTTCGAACGTGTTCTGTATTTAATTGCAATGGTCTGTTTTAGGGCCCGCCCGGTCCGCAGGGTCCCATTGGCTACCCCGGTCCCAGAGGAGTGAAGGTAAGTGCTATTCTATTGCCCATTGTTTAAGTTCAATGGAAAATATTCTAGTCACTGAGCCTTTCTAATTTATTCCGTAGGGAGCGGATGGTGTCAGAGGCCTCAAGGGCTCTAAAGGGGAAAAGGTAAGTGATAATTCACTTAGGTTTTAATCACTGTGTATCCAGGATATTAAAATGTAAACTCATTTAAGATATTCTGTTTGCCAAATATATTGTGATTCCTCATAGCCCAGACAATGCAAATATACTTTTGTACTTTGTATCCTGAAAACTTGAAAGCGAATATATTCTTTTAACCTGGAGTGCGGACTAAATTATAGAACAGAAACAAGGCACGTTGTAAAGAGAATGAGTCCTGCACCCCTTTTTCTTACATGTATCCCGGTTTTCTAAATCGTAAGGCTGGCCTTTAGGGAACTCATTTTCTGCGGGAGTTGTGCAATATCCAGGTGTATGCACAGGGGAGGAGTGTTTATTCCCCTCTTGACTAAAATCCCCCAAATTCAAAAATTGAAACTCAGTGCAAAACAGGAAAGTCAGAAGCACCATGTATCAGCTGGGGGAAGAGGGAGTCTTCCCGTGTGATACTGGTGCATAGCACAAGTATGGCTGAGAGGGAAATAAAGATTAAAACCGGGAGGAATTAAAGATTAAGTATTAATGAGAAGGAAATAAAGACTGAAGATTAAAACCGGGCAGGTGGATGAAAGAATGTGGAATCTTTTATACAGCATTTACGGTTGAATCGTCTTTAGATGAAGAACCGAAAATTTTAAAATAGAAATGTTATATAAGTTTGGAGCCTCCAAATCATTCAACATTTATGTCGCAACTGAATGACATTACTCAGAGTCAGTACTGAGTTGCCCTCCTATAATGGTATGTCCTAAAAATCAGGGTTTCTTATAAAATGTTGGTAGATTTGGTGAGAAATATATGGAATGTCAATGTTGAGCGCAAGGTCACTGTCTGCTCCCTTAGTCATAATTTTTTCAAAAGCACTTGGAGTCAGTTTGATACCAGCAAGGAATAGGTTCCGAGAGATGGACTGATTGCCTCCATTATAATTTAGTTTTCTGAGAAAAATTTTTTAAAAAAGGCACCATACTGAGGTGCTGTCAGCGAGTGCAACCGAGTGGTCAGTTCCACGGTCTGGAAAGCGCCCTGCGCTTGACATTCACTCGGCTGCTTGGGTTTGAATCCCAGCCTCGTGCGTCACCCCCGGGGACGTTCAGGAGACAGTCTGGCTGAAGGGCGACAGAGCACAGAGAGGGTTCAGACGGGGTTGACCTTGTCACTGTTTGCACGTTGCCTGTGCAAAAAATATGTTGTCTTAGTTTGGAATTTTTCTTGATAAGAAATCTTCCTGTTTTACAACTCTGTAAAGAATATTAAGTCCTATTGAATTTTCATGCATAGTATTTATTAGTTTTTTTCTGAGTAGGTTTTATAATTGACCATTTATCTCCTATCTTAAAAAAGGAAATTAAAACTATTTGGTTTTTATATATAACAACATTAACTGTTAACCAAAGGTGAAGTAGCAAGGGTTAAAAAGTCTCTACTGTTTAGACACAGATTTTGTTCCCCCTAGACCTCACTTATCATACCCAGAAAAACAAGTGGCATGGGTGAATTCCACTTTTACAAATCTTCTAAAATTCCGGGGATTTTTTTTTGTTTGCTTTTTGTTTAGATTAACTCAGACCTGATCATTTTAGAACTGGAAAGCTCAGAATGGGATGGTGCCAGTTGTTTTTAAAAAGACATTTATTGTATGGATACCTGCCATAATTTGTTTCCTTAATGGTGAATGCATTAGAAAGCACAGGTGAGACAAATAGCATCCAGTTCACTGTGTTCTCTCTTAAAATAAAACCGAAGACAGAAACAACTCTGCCTGAAAAGAATCCTAACAACTCTTCCTGGTTTTTGGACACAGAGCGCAGTGTTTTTAAACCAAACTTGGCAGCTGTGTGATTACCGTGCTCTCCGGGGAAGGTCATGAGGACAGCAGTCAATAGGAGGCTCAGGGTCACTTTCAGCTGTGAGGCCTCTGCGCCGCCCGCCGCCTTCAGTGCAGAGAGAACCCGAATTCCACCGGCGAGCTCACGGCCAGAACGCTGGAGGCGTGTCTGTCCTAAAGGAAACTTCTGCGCCAGTCAGAATTCCCTGGGCGCGATGCCAGGCGGGGTCCCTCTTCCAAGTTCAGGGCCCATGCACCCATAATTACCTGGTATTTCCCCGGCCTTGGCATAGCTGCCAAACTCACAGTGAGGCACGGATCATCTCCAAACGTTCATTCAGAAAATGTTAGTTGAATGTCTTGATTATTAAGGGTCAAAAACATACTAGGCCCTGGAGGTGCGGAGGATAACTGGGCATGAGTCTCGTTTTGCACCATTTAGTAGAAGGATAGAGACCAGTGATCTCCTAAGAGCGGGACGGAGGTTGTGGCGATAACAAATGCTCAGCACAGAGAGGTTAATTTTAGGGGAAAATACCGAGGTCCTGGGAAAGTTCGTAGCAGAATCGCGGCCTGTGTTTGAAAGAAGGGCGAAGTGTCCCCAGGTGGAGAGACGGGAAAAGGTTTGCAGTGTGCGTGGGAGAGCGGTGACCACAGCAGGAATTGCAGATCGTGAGACGGGCGACTCAGAGTCTCTGGAGCTCAGTCCTGGAGCGTGGAGTCGAGGCCGCGGGGAGATTCCGGACCAAAGACTGCGCGGCGGGGAGCGGGCGGGGCTGGGCCACCGTTAGCGAAGTGCGTCCACTGACGGATTTTAAAGTGAAAAGCGACAGGCGCTTTTGGCAGCAGGGTTTCTAGCTCTGTTCTCACACTGGCTTGAAATGCCCTTTTCCGAAACTGTGCACGTCGAAGCCATACTCTCGCCACTAATCAGATGCCAACTGCCCCTTCCCCAACTCACTTTTTGCCTCAAAACCATCACCAACAGCTCCAGCACCGGCGGCACCACCACATCTTTTCTCCAACAACCAGTTTACTCCATCTGTGCCAAAACTAATGCAGATATTCTACCTTCGTTTTTATTAGTAAAATAAAAATGTTTCACAGCTAGGATTCACGTTTCTCAGAACAATTTTCCCTGCTTACGAGTATTCGTATTGTACATAGCCATATTTTATATTCGAACACCTGTTTTATTATTTATATTTTTTAGGGCGAAGATGGTTTTCCAGGATTCAAAGGTGACATGGGCCTTAAAGGTGACAGGGTAGGTCAAAGAAAAATTTTGACTAAAATTTGCTTTTAGGCAACTTAGGGGCAGCAGACAGCTTTTTAAAAAAATTAAATTTATCGGGATGAAACTGGTTAATAAAATCACACAGGTTTCAGGTGTACAAGTCAGTGGCTCATCACCAGCATGTTGCATGTATCAGCTTCTTAACTGCCTTCAGCTCAAAATGATCATTACGTCACAGTGGAGTGACTGGGGCGGCATGTTCTGCCTCCCTACATTATCGACTCTTGATTCTTAATTTTTCCCTCTTTCTCTCTGCAACACAGATGCTAAAATTAATTTAATAGGACACACAGTAGCGTGGGCTTCTGTAGGTTGTTCAGTGTCCAACTATATCCAGGTGTTTGTTAATCGATGGAAAGACTGATGAAGTCAACACTTTCAAGCCTCGCTGTCGTAAATAAAACATGAGTGAACAGACCAGGAGTTGAAGAATGTGACTTTCTGATGGGCTGTAATCTCTGCCATTCAGTCCCCAGTAGATTTTTAGTTACAAACGTGTCGTTACCCTGCGTTCCAGGGAGAAGTTGGCCCAATAGGCCCGAGAGGAGAAGATGGCCCTGAAGGCCCCAAAGGTCGAGCCGGTCCCACTGGGGACCCTGGTCCTTCTGGTCAAGCTGGAGAGAAGGTCAGTGAGCCACTTTCTCAGCCTTGTACGTCCCCCTGGACTCCAGGGACTGTCTCTGGCGCCCGTAGACAGCACAGGCTGTTAGGAGCATCACACACCAGGAAGGCGCCTGAGCTTCGCTTTTCCTCTTAGAGGAAAAGAATAGAATGAAATAGAATGAAAGAAATAGAATGAAAGTCTGGGGGAAACTTGCAGATCTTTCTTTCAAGGGTACACATATGTGGTCCCTCTGAAAAAGAGACTAAAGTCATCATTGAAGCTTGATTCAACTTGGAACTCACTGTGGTGTGTGCTTCCCTCCAGGGGAAACTCGGCGTTCCAGGACTGCCAGGGTACCCAGGACGGCAAGGCCCAAAGGTAAAGGAACCGGCTCGATGTGCTTTTAAAGCTGACTCACCAGCAGTTTGTTAGAAACACTTAAAATCAACCACCTGTGGTTACCTTTCAGCTTGTAACTTAGAGATGGTGAATCTTCAGATATCGTTTCACAAGAGAAAGCCACGTGGCGTGTGGGCGCCGGGGGGCAAGGGGCTCGGGGCGCCTGGGTGACCGCGGGGGGAGTCTCAGGAGACGGGGTCCTAAGAGGACAGCCTGGCTGGCTGCTGCCTTGTGCCTGAACTAGGATCTTCCAGGGCAGCCGAAAAGACTGTCTGGAAGTTTTAAAGTAGGTGGCAGGTGATGACCAATCGCTTCTGAATTCATTTCTCAGAGCCTACGGGTTTGAATTCCCACTTGATATTTTAAAAAAAGAATTATAATACATCGTCCATGCCCTCACCCTTCCACACTCCCAGTGTTTGTTTCCTAGGGCTGCCATGACGTAGCTCCACAAACTCGGTCACTTAAAACAATGGGCACTTACTCGTATAGCTCTGGAGGCCAGAAGTCTACCACTGAGGTGTCAGCAGGGTCACACTCCCTTCCAAATGTCTAGGGGAGCCTCTGCCCTTGTCTCTTGCAGCATTTGGTGGCCCCAGGCCCTCCTTGGCCAGTGTTGGCCCATCTACAGTCTCCATCCCCCTACACCACTCAAATTCTATATTTGACTACTTGAAATATACATATTTTATAGGTAGAAATAGATGGTTTTAAAAATACATGTTTACCCTGGTGTACTAATTTTTCTCAAGTTAATCATAAAACATTGTTAAGACTACAATTAACCATTGACGAGATACAGCGAAGTGGTTAAATGAATTAATATATAAATTCGGGTTATCAATATTAAGATTTTTTTAAATACACATGAGAATATCTATCTACCTATCATCCATCTGTGTTTGACCCATTCAGGCTTGACAAGTACAGCAGATAGGGATAATCTTAATTATATACTGATCCCAAAACATTTATTTATTAATAAGCTTCACAAGTAATCAGTGGGAGAGAGAAATGTCCTTTCTCCTGACAGAGGTAGAAACAGGCACCTATGTTCACTCATCATGTGATAACGCTCTTTTAGGGATTATTTTCTAGAAAATACTTTTTATGCATAAAGCACATACTATAATTCATATTTCCTCTAAAGTAGGAGATAAACATAACACTGTGAGCCCTTGTAAAATAAGAGGCATACGTCTATGATTTTAAAGTAACGCAGCCATCATTTACTGTTTCTGGCTATATTTAAACCACTGATTAGTAACTTTTACCTGTTAAATATTATCTCTAATACACTGTCCTGTCTCTTAGTTACCTTCTTTTGAAATGTCAAGTATTTTCACAAGTATTAGGAGTGAGAGAAGACATTCCCTGCGCAACCCTGGGCATTAAGCTCTCCTTAGATTACTTGCTAAATTTTTTATCTAATTACTAAATTACATGATAGTTATGGTGGTGTTTTGATTTAAAAACAGGAAACTGTCCTATTATTTGAATGAGCACAATTTTCTTTTATGAGTTTATTTGACATTCTGATGTTTTGCTGTCTTTCACAAGTCAATTCTCAGTTCAATATTCTTTGAGTTTGGGGGTTTTATTATTAGTATTAATTAACCAAATGCATCACAATGACTGGAGACAAGTGTTTCTTTCTAGTAGAATCAAACATTTCCCTTTACTCTTGAACTTAAATGTTTGAAATTTGGGTCTTTATTATTTTATATAACTTTTCTTCATAAATTTCATTCTAGTCTCAGAAGCCATTTACGTTTCTCAGTTCTAAAACAAAAAATGATTAGCACAGCAAAGATCAAAGAGAACTTCAAAGAGAACTTTCCTATGTGGAAGCCAATGCATTTTTAAATAGATTTAAATCATTTTCTACTAAAAGTGAAATTTGGCTGCTAAGCTTCTTTAGACAAGTTAAAGACTGTAATTAGACAACATAATTTATCCAGTATTTTACTAGCAAAATCTTACTGCGTATTTCAAAGATGCACCACCTTGTGTACTATGAAATGACAGATAACTATTTCAATAAGTAAAATCTATTTTAAGACAGGATTCTTTTATATTTTAAGCAGCATTTAAAGTAAATTTTTATATTTTCACACTTAGTGACTGAGCCTCTTTGGCCATTAAGCTTTGACTCTGGGCCTTTTGTTTGCTGTTTGGGTTTCTAATTAAAAGCGGATAATGCCTTTTCACAGAAATTATGTATTTGGGTGATAATTCCTTAAGTGAGACAAAGAGAATGATACGCCCATATATTACAAACCGTTTAATTGGTAGATTGGACATTTTTAATTGGTAGATTGGTAGTCTGTTTCCCATAAATTTCTTAGAGCAGAGACTATATAAGAAAATAAATTAATTAAAAATAAAATTGATGCCTAAGAGCCATTTGTTTTAATGGGGTCTCTCTTATCTATGTTACTTATCTATGGCACTCGGGACAGAAACGAATATTTGTTCCCCAACAAAATTTGATGGAAGTAAGTTATTTTCATACTCGATTACACTCAGCGAGTTCCTGGCGTAGTCGCAGAGTAACACTCCACCAGACGTCACTATCGGATTCCCCGCAGAGAGAGAGAAGGCTTTGAAAGCCTTTCAGAAATGTAATTTGCAGACATTTCCCCCCATTACGTGAACAGGACACGTCCTGACAGTTGTCCTCGGGTCGCGCGTGGTTATGTCTGTGGGCACAGATTAGATGCGCGGGGAAGTGGGCCGCACAGACGCCTGGCGGCGCATTCGGTTAGTGTGGCCCGCAGTGTCCCTGACTCGGGAGGAGAGTGTGACCCGGGGACACGGTTCGTGATGCGGATCGCGGGGCCGATCGCAAGGTCTGCAATCCACGCGAGCGGACTGAAAAAGCAAAACGTGCACTCGAGCCAGAGAAGGCTGTGTGTCCCCCGGCGACGGGAGGAGCGGGAGCGGGCCCGGCCTTCTCTTCCGTGCACAGTTCCCACCCGGTGCGTTTAATTCACACAGTGGCCGAAACAGGGCAAGTATTCAGAGGCACCCCCTTCCCGCCCCTCCGGGGCGCATCATTAGCAAGTTGAAGAGCAAGGATTTGCCCCTAATCTGCTCTATCTTGTGATACAGTCATGAGGCAAACGGTCCCGGTCCTGTTCAGAGGACCCTCTGGGCAGATGAGCATCCGAGCATGTGCGCAGGGTAAACGGGGGATCATGTTATATGTCGTCTGTGAAATGTGGCCGCTTGTGGATGAGCTGACACGATGCTTCCCCTGTGCTTACGGCGTCTTTAAGGAGCCACGGTTTATCGCCATCTATCATTATCATTTTATACCTCGCCCGCCTGCCTTCCGACCTCCCACAAATGCCCTAGTGCCTTAGATGCCGACGGCTGCCCTCATTCTGCAGAATAAAAACTAAAACTGTTCAAAGAGGAGAAGTACACACCCAACTTATTTGGGGGACCGCACGACAAAGACAAGTCTTGAATGTACGTCTTTGAAATTCCCCCAGCAGGACCGTCCTGCTGGACGCCTGCCTGAGACCCTCAGCTAGCTCTGACCACATCCAGACATCAGACAGGAAGGGTGGAGGGACGGTTTCAGCGTTTATGGTTTGATCCAGTTCTAAAGGCAGAAAATTCAACTAAAAATTGATACATACACTCACACTAGAATGCTAATTCAGGAAGAATACTTTATAATGTTATTTTAAAATTTGTGCATGCTGGGGACCTAGAATTCTTCGGAGTTGAATTCTTCTAAGTACATGTGAGGACTTAGAAGGCAACCATTTATTGTGGACAAAATGCCCTGTAATTGCTATTTTTTAATATGACAAATGATATCTTTGATTAATTATTTTACTGAAATTTGAAAACTAAAAATATGTTTTATCAATTCCTACCTTCAATGCTTCCAGGATTTCCGACGTCCCTGTAAGTTCATTTTTAAATTTTTGAATGGAGTTTGTACGGCACATTAAAGTTATGCTTTCGGTTTAAATATTGTCAGCTTGTGGGGATCGCTGTGTCCCCAAAGGCTTCCAGCTTGCGGTTCAGGATGTCGGTGGCCATGCTCATGGTGCACTTGCCTCATTCTTTCAGGGCTCCACTGGATTTCCTGGGTTCCCAGGTGCCAACGGAGAGAAGGGCGCTCGGGTATGATGCTTACATTGCTCTGGACTCGCTAGTGTAAATTCCCTGCATGAGACACGGTTCCCCGGGCCGCCCTTACTGACACTGAACTGTCTTTGGCAGGGCGTCGCTGGCAAACCGGGCCCTCGGGGGCAGCGCGGCCCAACGGTGGGTGCCTTTCGTTGAAAACCATGCTTTTCATTTGGGATGTAATTTTCAAAGATCGTTCTCTCCAGAAATAAAAATGTGCTGGGTGCCACTGGCTCGGCACTAGAGCAGCATCTTCTCTCCTACGCAGGGTCCTCGTGGTTCCAGGGGCGCCAGAGGTCCCACCGGGAAGCCTGGCCCGAAGGTAATGTCGGCCGCGTCTCACCGCGGCCTTGCCGCGACGGCGTCCAAGACGACGCTCCCAGGAGGCATCGAAGCTGATTTCTTCTTCTTTTTCTTCTTGTTGCTATTGGCAGGGCACTTCGGGCGGTGACGGCCCTCCTGGCCCTCCCGGGGAGAGAGTAAGTATGGTGCAGTCACGTCGCATGGAGTCCGTACGAATATTCCACAGCCTTTACTCTAGGAAAGGAACGGGGGTCTGCACCCCCAGGGCCATCCCCAGGGCCCCCCGCAGGGCCATCCGCAGGGCCATCCGCAGGGCCATCTGCAGGGCCATCCGCAGGGCCACCCGCAGGGCCCCCCACAGGGCCACCCGCAGGGCC